AAGTTTTGTTAGTCTTTAAGGTGCTCCTGGATGCTTACTCTTTTTCTACTGCTACAGACAGACTAACACAGCTACCCGTCTTGCTTTTAAAGAGTACATGATAACGGTCTCATGGTACTGCTTTGAGGATACAAGAGGACAGAAGACTCTCTGGGATATATGTGGCTTACTGTGCCACTGTGAGAGGGAAGAAAGGCTTGGGGGATTCTGTACTTTTAAAAAATCAATATGGGGATCCTTGGGTTGCAGAAGTTTGAGAACTACTGCATTTTGACATCCATGATGAATCTTAACCAGGACTACTAAGAAATAAAATAGCAACTACCCATTTCTGGCTTCAAGGGCAATGAGTGATTTAAGACATGCCAGCTAGATAGTGTCTGCTGCTTACCCACGAAGTGCCTGTCATGATTACTTTTCAAACTAAACAAAACTTGGCTTGCATTTTCATTAACAGGTTTTTAACACAAACGAACAAGAGGCAAAATGAAGGGGGGAGGGAGAGACATACTGCTGAACACATTTCCAACATCACAACTGTATCAGTTCAAGGAGATGGCAACACAGTCCCAGAATTATAAACATTCAAACAGTGTTTTGGCTATCTTAAATATAGCACATTCTGTCTTCATGACAGCACAGAAGCATTTGAAGCCAATGAGGACTAACATTAGATTTGCTGTTACCAGGCCTAAAGGATCAAGTGTGGGGATATGTGTTCTTTCCCCCAACCCTTCCCACTATACATATTAACATCCCTCTACCTTGACTTGTTATTGTCTGATCAACAGGGCTCACAGTAACACAAACCTAGATGCATTCTGAATTTAATCTTTGGAATTTGGGAGTCATTAAATGTGTGCTAACCAAGAGTAGTGCTGTTTAGAGAGGGGCCTGGGGCTCAGTTGCAGGGCATCCGGAATAGCATGCAGTTTGCCCAAGGTTCAACCTCCAGCATCCCCAATTAAAAGAACCAAGTAGTAAAAGATGGAGAAAGAGCCTGGAGAGTTCTCCCGCCAGTCAGAGAAAACTGACCTTTGTCAGACCAACTGTCTGACTCAGTATAAGGCAAGTGCAATGTGCAGATGCAATTCACAACTGGGATAAACAGAAAAGGAAGCATCACGTGGGTGAGAAGGAAGACCACACCCACCTAATCCCAGCTTCTTGACCAGCTAATGTTGTGCTTACACAAACCCCATAACACCATCCTTACTACCATATATTTCACTCTTGTAGCATGCCATGAAATTTCAACTGGAATGCTGAAGTGTCTGCAAATCTTCCAGGCCTTTGTCATGTGGTTCATTTTAGAATTTTACTCATCATTAATGAGGTGGGTCAGACAAATAGAAATATAGTTTTCAGGTCCATGCAAAATACTTTAAATATCTGTCAAGCACTATAGGGTTATGTGGCTGTTACTGCTCTGTGGGTCTCTAGGTGATGTACAAATTTAGTTTACTAGCAACCAAATTCATGTCATGCAATTGTCCGCTCCTTCCCTCCCCCAACAAATTTGAGGATATAAGCACATCAATGTTGCTTGAGACTGACCATTTCTCATCAAAAGAAAAACCTTTTTGGTTAATATTTGCATTTTTAAAACAAGTCTAGAGCTCAGTTTAATTGCCCTTAGTTTATTTTACAATTCGCTTCAAAATCTTAGTAGCTACCATAAAATTTTAATGAAACATGTTGACTTGAGATGCTCCCTCTCACCTTCTCTCTGTGATTTAAGAAAAGGGAAAAGGGGGGGGGAGATATTTCCTAAAAACAATGGTCAAATAACCTGACTGCTTCCAATCTCAGCCACTTTAAACTTCTCTTATTCAAATATTTATATCCCATTTTTACTGTGACAAGGCATCTTACAAATCATACTGAAAAGCATAATAGGGGTGTGCTAAAAAAAATCTATTTTTCTTGCTCCATTATAGCCTATGGGGACCCTTATAGTCAATGGGTTCCACAGCCTATAATACAGAACTGACCGGGGGGGGGCGGTATTGGGGGTATCTGGGGCTATGGGGGGCTGTTTTTTAGGTAGTGGCACCAAATTTGCAGCATAGCTGCTGGTGCCTCTCCTACTCCCCCCCAAAAAATTTTTCAAAAATATCGGACCAGGGGGTCCAATTCTATGGGCCCCAGAATGAGGTACCCCATCCAATGAAGCAAAAAATGCTCCTGATCTGGAAGCTAAATTGTCTGAGCAGCTAGCTAAAATGTGGTGTGCCAGCACCCCTAGCACAGTTTAAAGGGAACACTGCTAGGTGGGTAAGCTGGCAGGCAGAGAGAACAAGTCTGTCCTCTTCTCTGTTCAGATGACCCATATCAACCTAGTGCCTTGAATTCTGTTTTGGTAAGCCTGGTGCACCCTGGAAAATGTAGTCTCCAGAGCTCATAGCATCAGATGCCTTAGAGTGAAACAATTTGTCAGGTTCTACAAGAAAATAGGGAGAGAGGACTACAAACTACAGGAGAAAGTAAAGGAAAACCACTAGACAATACAAAAGAACAGAAAAAATTAGCATCTCATTTTTTTCCTTTTCTTTCCTTCAAACAATATCCTTGCTTGGGGGCCACAGTCCCATATTCCGAGTCTTCTCCAGTAAGTGTTTCATCCTCATTTCCCTTATGACTCTCCTCATCTTCTTCCCCTGTTGGTCCAAGTTGTAGCTGCAAGAATGCACTAGTTTTCATAACAGAGTCAATTTTCCCGCTCTCATCTTTAAATTTGAAAAGTATGCCTTCAGGTATAATCCATTTGTAGGGAATGTTGTTCTTTTGTAGAAACAAAGCCAAGTCTCTGTATTTTTTCCTCTTCTTTCAAAGGGAATGTCTTTCAAAACTCTTATCTCCTTGCCGTCAGTTTTAAGGGTAGTTCGACTTATTGCCTTTAATATCTGGTCTCTTTCTTGTCTTCTGGGGAATCTAACCACCACCTCACCAGGGAGATTATTTTTCTTTATAAATTCTGAATATGACCTATAGATCACATCCATCTCGCCTTGAAGAACATCCGCTTTTAAATATGCAACCGGTCCCAGGGCATCAATCATGATCTGCTTTAGATTCTCCCTTTTAATCTCAGGAACTCCCTGAAATCTCAGAACAAAGCTTGCCTTTTCCATTTGCAGCTGTAAAAGCTGGGTTTCATCCGAGTTTCTCTTCCTTTCCATCTCCTGCATTTGTTTGTTAAGCTTTTTGGTATTGGCATCCACTTCTTTAAGGTTCTCAGCTGTTTGCTCTGTTTTTTAATATTCTCACTTAGTGCTATTGCTGTGCAGCGAAATTTTCGTTGAACGTCTTCATTTGCTCCAGCAGGGGTCGCAAAGCATCTGTTAGCATCTTAGAGAAATCTATCGTTACATCCGGTCACGTGACCGCACTCACTGGGCTGGCACTTCTTGAAGGAGGCTTAGGTTTCGGATGCTTAACTTTCTCCATCTTTTTCACGACATCTTTCAGGATGTTTACATTCAAAGTAACGCTGCCAAAAGTCTCTAAAGTCTGCAAATCGCCTAAAAGTCTCTTGTAAGTTCCTTAATATAGCTTCTTTTCACTTTTAGTTCCACCCCCCTTCTGCTTTAAGTCCGTTTTTAGTTTCATGGGAGGGTTCCCGCCCCCCCCCGCTTACTTTAAGGGGGACTTTCAGCCGGTTCTCTGGTGTTTGCTTCAACCAAACTCACTCTTAATGTAGATCAAGTAGATCATGCCGTTTATCATGTAAGACGCTCGACCTCCACACGCTTGTCCCGGTGTGCGTCTCTGAGTCCAGTACTGGAACACAGCAGTAAGACCGTCGGGGCATCAAAACGCCTCAATCCACCAGCAGTGTGCCGGGGGAGAGGCGATCCTTGGCAACCCATGGCTAGGAGCCCTTCGCAAGGGTTCCAGGGGGGCATGTACGATCGCACCCCCTCTCCATCCGCCGGTTCATGGATCGCGCCCTCAGGAGCTCCCGAGCGGCGCGTCCGCCATTAGATCACCAAAACCGGAAGTCATAACTTGTCAGGTTCTGGGGGGGGAGGGGGACCTGAGAGGAAAGAAAGCAGCTCTGCTCACGTAGGTTGGCTGGTAGGCAGGCCACTAGCTATCGCCACTGCCATGGAGAAGGGATGGGGAAATTCTTCTTCTTGGGTATACAGTTTAAAACTGTACTGCTCACTTTCATATTAAAAGTGGATATAATATTTGTCTTCCTGCACTAACCAAATATAGACACATATATTAAAACTAAGGACAAATCTTGAAAAAAATATTTATCCAGAATCATTACCTGGACTGGCTTAAGTTATCTCCTATTGTGGGTTTTTTTTAAAAGGTAGTTTCCTCAGAGATCCCTTCTGTTTCAGGTAGCCAGCAAGTTCATTTAAAACATTTTTATCTAGCTTTCTAACTAGCTTTCAAGGCAGTTTGCAATGTTTAAATTACAGCAAAACCAATACAAATATTCAACTGTCGCAAAACAGAACCAACAAAGAAAAAAGCAGCAGAATCAAATTTTCATATGATTTAAGCCACATAAAACAATAGCGATGTTATCACATCATTCATTAAACTTTAAGGCAGGTGGCCAAACAAAAGGGTGCAGGAATGTTCCATGAGGCACACTGGTTGTTTAAAGTCAAAGATAAGGGATATATTCATTTGTGGGGGGTTTTCCTTCCTCTTTCCTATTATTTAGACATTAGTAGGAAAAGTAATATGTGAAAAAGCACACATGGAACAACAGATGAGAAAGTTACTGACTGTATCACTAAATTGAACCTTTAACTTATTCCAGTTCTTACTATACAACTTTTAGAATAAATGCAACCCCTCTTGTGTAGTATACCATTTCATGAAACATGCAGCAAGGTCAGTTTCTTGCACTTATCTATGAATAAGAAATAAAACTATGCACATGGGGCCTCAACTCAAGCCCCTCAGCGCCCAGTAGGCAATTTTAATATCATTACTTTGGAACAATTATAATGGAACTATAAATTGCATACCATGCCATTTGCCCTTGTAAACAGTCCCGAAGGAGCCCGACCCTACTCTGGTAGAGAGCATAACTTCACTGGCTTCTATTTCCCAATAATAACTTGAATCTCTCTGTCCACGAGCTCTCTGAAAAGGAAGTAAATATTTACAGATAGCACATCCTAGAAAACAAGTTTTAGCAATTCGTATCAAAGTTTGTATCAAATATATGATTAGAAACACTGAACATAGATCTAATTCTGTACAGTAGATAGTTACAATGCAGACTTTAAAATAGCAACAGAAAAAGATGTGTAAGAAAGATTAGTACATTATCATTTGTACGCACTGGTAGAAGACAATAAAGGGCGGCAGAGAAGGAGTTCCAAAGTTTTGGCACCATGATCAAGACCACCCCCTTCTCAAGTTGCCACCCATCTACCTTGATAAGGTGAGGGCACCCAAAGCAGGGCCTCTAAATATGACAGAGTGCGTAGGTAAGGTTCATATGGGAGTAGGCAATCCTTCAGGTATGCTGGCCCTAAGCTATATAGAGCTTTAAAGGTCAATACCAGCACCTTGAATTGGGCCCAGAAGTAAACTGAGAGCCAGTGGAGACAGAAAAAGATTGGAATGATAATGGTCCTTACAACCCACTCCCCCCACTCAGTGTTCTGGGCACAGCAGTCTGTACCAACTGTTGTTTCCAGGCAGTCTTCAAGGCAACCCCATATAGAACACATTGCAGTAATCTAATGTAGACATTAACACAGCATGCACCATAGTGGCAAGACATCTGCTGCTCAGGAACAGTTGCAGCTGGCAAAAGGCATCCCCATCTACCACTGCCACCTGTTTATTCAACAGGAGACCTGGGTCCAGCAGCACCCCCCAAATAACAAACTTGCTCCTTTAGGAAGAGTGCAATCCCATCCAGAAGAGAAGATAACCCAGTTCCTGAGTCAGACTTTTCACCCCACCAGTAACACCTATGTCAGGATTAGGTTTCAGTTTGTTAGCCCTCATCTATCCCAAAACTGTCACCAGGCACCTCCCTAGCATCTGCCAGAAGCCCAAGACAGAGCTGAGTGTCATCTGCATATTGATGGCCACTCACTCAGCCCAATCTCCAGATGATCTCTTGCAGCAGCTTCACATAGACGTTGAAAAACATGAACAAAAAAGAATCTTGCAGGATCCTGAAGCCAGAGGCCAAGCAGCAGTCCGTCAACACGACAGTCTGAAACCCACCTTCAAGGTAGGGCTGATACTACTGCTAAATGGTGCCTCCCAGTTCCAACCCCAAAAGGCAGTCTAGAGGGTACCATGATTAAATTATATCAAAGGCTGCTGAGATCCAGAAGAAGTAATATACTTCCCCTGTCCATCTGAGGGTGCAGGTTGCCCGCCAGAGTGACCAAGGTTGTTTCAGTTCCCTAAATGGGCACGATATCAGGCTGGAATGGATCCCAACAATCCACTTCTTTCAGGAATCCCTGAAGTTGCCCAGCCACCACTTGTTCAGCTACCTTGTTTAAGAATAGTACATTTGAGACTGGGTAGTAATTACTCAACCCTCCTGGATCCAGAGCAGTTTTTTTAGGACTGGATACACCTTTGCCTGCTTGAAGGCAAGGGTGACCACCCCCACTCTCCGGAAGGCATTTGCTGCCTTCCAGACCCAATCCACCAGCTCTACCCCCTGCCCCTTGGCAGATTTAAGCAGCCACGAGGGGCAAGGGTCATACAAGCATGTGGTGGGTCTCAAATTTTCAAGAATCCTGTCCACATCTTCTGACTGGACAAGCTGAAAGGTATCTGTGACAGGCCCTTTCTACCAAATGAAGGGACCTACACAGCCTCTTATGATTTTGGGGAACCAGGCTTGTTTAGAACCATAAACCTTCATCTTAGTTATAAGGCGTTAAAAGAATAGCAAGTGTAAAGGCTTTGGCTATACTGCTGTGAGGTAGGTTTTATGGTTAGTAAGAAGAACATAGAGATCATGGAAGCAGGATCTGTATGTAAATAACAAATATTTATTTATTTTCAGGTTGTTTTTAAAGAACAAATCAGCATCACATTTCTCTAGACCGTCGAAGGAGAAACCTGGCTGAGACACACTAAAATAAGCTAGTTATGGCTTTCGATGGCTAGTACAAACATTTCAATGACTAGGTACTAGGTTGGATCCCACCTATACCAGCCTGCCCTTTTCCAAGTGTCAGACTATATATATAAGGTCTGTTAATCAGAGACAGGACTAAAAAATGAGTACCACATCCTCTCTCAGAGATACAACTAAACCATCCTGCCAACACTACAAACTGTCCGCTCTTTTGCTGAGGCAGACCCAAACCGTGACTGCACTCTCCCAGAGGCAGATCTGAACTGCTACTGTGTTTCCCCTCCGATCCCACCTCTGAAAGGTGATTGTGCCACGGTGTCATGGACTTCCACGGCAACAGGACAATTCTATGCAGATGCAGTGGGGGCAAAGAAATAGTTGTTACTCTCCCTAAACACTGTTTGACAAATAGATACTCACAATTTTTTTTTCTTGTGTGGTAGATCCTGTAGCTCTCTCTCTTTGGACTGGAACTGGCATTTTAGGCTGAGACCATCCTGTGGGGCTTGTATTGTTGGGACTTCCAGATATAGCTGAGGGTGATGCTTCACATAATTTATCATTTGAAAAAGGAAAAGAAATTTATTAATTTTATAACATATGTTGTGGGAAGTCTAGATCTCCGTATACAGAGTCCTGAACCATATTTCTGACATCTGCAGTTAAAAGAGCCTCAGATAGCTGAGGGTGATGCTTCACATAATTTATAATTTTTAAAAGGAAAGGAAATTTATTAATTTTACAACATATGTTGGGGAAAGTCTAGATCTCTGTATACACAGAGTTCGAAATCATATTTCTGACATCTGCAGTTAAAAGAGCTTTGGAGACCTGCTGCCAGTCAGAGTAAACTATAGGGGCTATGATTCACTGTAAGGCAACTTTGTGCAGTCATAAAACTCCACATAGAAATTTTCAAAATTTGCAAAGCAGCGCTCAGAATATCCTAGTTGTCTTTGCCATGCAACACTCACCTGATTCACTGTGACTACGAATAGCATCCTGAAACAGAAAGAAAGAATACCAATACTTCAGCAATATTTCTGTGGTCAGTAGAAAAGGGATCAGGAAAATTTCTCAGTAATGAGAAACTGACTCAGCAGCTTTGATTCACATAACAACCAAAACATTCTTTTAGAGAAGGTGTTGGCTACTGTAAATACTAGGAATCCTAATGTTTGCTGGCACTAAACATTAAGTGTACTTAGTTATCAAGGAGCTTTTCATCAAGAACTCATCCAATCAGTTCCTGCAGTTTTTATGAGGGCACCACATTCTAAATGAGGGCACTATTAGACTCTACATTTGTGTGTACACTTGAATGTCAGCTTTGTGCAAAATGTGTCTAATATAGCCTACCACATACAACAAATGCTTATCCACTTAGGAAAAATACTGTGTTTAAACATCGCAGGGAACTGCACATGTAAAACTTTCACACCAGTGGAAACCTTGGGACTCCACAGTACCACTGTTGCAACTGAGCTGGTTTCTCTTCCCCTCACTTCATGCCACACATGCTTCCCTGTGTTAACATGCATATCTTTGACATAAGATAAATTGAGATTGTCCCCTATCTGTCTAATGTGATCCAAAGCACAGTTTGAATAATCAACAGAAAGGCAAGCGTTGAAATAATTCACAAGACAAAAGCCACATCAAACAAGGCCCAGAAAATGACCAGAAGCTGCCAGGAAACCACATAAAGACTGCTCTTAAGTCTTTGGAGGAAAAGTGGAGCATAAAGATTATACATAAACAAAATTAATGACAGATATGAATTTATAATAAAAAAAATTATTTGGCAGGACAGAATATAAGAATTGAATATAAAGTTCTCAAGTTGAAAATTATACATTTTTTTCATTCTGAAGAGACAGATTTTGAAAAAGGCCAACTGGGTAGTTTCCAGGATGTAGCAAGCAAGCAAAGAACACCTTCTGAAATATATACAGAGAGTAGGGGAGGCAGCAGTTTCCAAGATGCATAGCAATTTGGTTAGGTGCAGATTTACCCTTCTGCTTACATTCCCTTATACCACGCCAAATTCCAATAAGGCAATGTTTCCCAGTCTGTGGGGTCCTGACCCAAACAGGAGTCACAAAGCCTGTGAAAGTGGGTCCAGGCTCTTGCAGTTTTAATGATTTGTGAATCCTTTTCCCCCCCAAGTGCATCCCCACAGCAAGTAAATTTGAACTTGTGGGTCACCATACACAAAAGGATAGGGACCTTATTTCAGGGGTAGAATTTTTTGGGGGGGAAGGGGGATGCCCTGTAAAGGATGAGGTATTCTTGGGACCTTACAAATACATTTAAATCTGTATTTTGCAGCAACACATTTATGTGCTGTGGCTTGCACATGGCCCAACTGGACACAGATTGTCCACCACTACTTTAAAGCAATCTGATCACTTATTGGAGGCATACATAATTTAAACCCCAAATTTCTAAGAAAATACACATACTATATTTCAAGAGTTTTCCATTTTAATTTGAACTTAGAACAAAGTACTAGATTTCCAGTGGGCAACTGTTTGCAGCACTACTTCTGAGGTATCGTCTATAATTACAAGTTTTTATTTACTAAGGTCTTGCTTTATATAAACCTTAATTGTTAGTCTGGCTTTCTGTATGGCTTCTTGGTAGGAACATGCTGTAATTCGCTATTCCCAAGGGAGAGTATACAGTAACATTTCTCTTTATATTTTTGGATAATTAAATATTTAACCAATATATCCACATAGTTTGAACATACTTACACAGCTAAATTCCTGAGGGTAAAACTGACATGGGCCCCGGTCACACGGGCCGGATATCACGGGGGGGGAGGCGTGGCTAATTGCCCCAGCGCAGTTTGATCCGCGATTATGCGATCAGATGCACCGGCGGCACACCACGGGTCCTTCCCTCAGCACCGGTGGGTAAATGAGGGACCGGAGGGGAATGCTGTGCGCCGGCGCGATCACACCACGGGCGTCTGGAGGCAGCCCATGGCAAACGTTTACTAGTACCTTGGAGGTATTAGTTTTTTAACGTGCATTGTCGGCGGTAAGCCACAGGTGCGCTCCACTTCCCAGATGTTGGGGTGTGATCGCGCCCGGATAATCCGCCCACCATCCGTGCCTCTCCCACGGCAACTTTGTCGTGTGACCGGGACCATGGAAAGGTTTACTCCAAAAGGTATACTTTTGCCCTGTACTGCTGACTCATACATATTTGCAATTGAGATGCTATTTGAAATTACCAACTCCAGTTTTAGAATTAATGCCAAACAAACATGCCACACTATTTCTAACTGTTAATCTATAGTTGTGTTAACTCACACTGTTTGGCTAATTGCGTATGGGTGTGTGTTTAGCAATCCTGTCAACTGCAAGAAAGCAAAGGCATCCAGACAATACCTACTCTTCCCCTTAAACAGAATCGTCTGCACCAGGACCTGGGAGAAGCATTCAGGCTGTTATTCTAATTCAAAGCAATGAGAAATAGGAAAAGAACAGAGGGAGTAGTAAAAAAATAGTTTCCAGCTGCTAAATGAAAGTAGTACAGAAGAGAACTTGAAAGAAAGATCAGTTAACATTAACAATGTGCATGCTACTTTATCAACGGGGCTTTTAAATCTGATGCAAGACCACTCAGTAACTCTCAAAGTTAGGCAGGCAGACATTTCTGCTCAACAAAAACCGCCAACTGTGCAATATCCTCCAAGGGAACACTTGCTAAATTATATGTGTAAGTCTGGAAAGTATTCAAGTTCTGCTATAAAGCTTACTTTAGCTTACTAAAAAAGACCCATGAAAGAAGCTTCAAGATCTTTGTGGGAGCAAATGTGAAATCCTAACTCGTACAAAGCAGATTAAAAAAAAAAAGACTCTGGTGATGCCTGAGTTAATCCACTAATCTATAAAACTCTGTAAAACTAGAAAGGCATTCACAGGTAATGGTGTGGCTGTCCTAGCACTCCATGCAACGGAGTCACTATTCTGAGGTCAAAGCAAGAGAACTGTACACAGGAGCCTGAATGGTAAGGAAAACAACTATTCCTTCTCCTACCTCTACAAACTCAACATACAACTCCAGGAAAGACTTCCCAGCCTGGTTAGAGAAATCACGTATGAAGGTTTCTTCCATTTATAATAACCTGGGCCATTCCAAGACATCAGCATGTACACAGGTCCATTTAGAAAGCCAAACACAAAAACGTATCCCATGAGAACAGCTAGGATACCAAAGCTGAAAAGAACATGCTGAGAAGCTAAAAAGCATTTTACAGCAATCACAGTTCTTACAGACAAGGCTGTCTCTCTTCTGATCATAAAAGAAATAAACTGAATTTTGTAACAACATTTATACCAATAAAAGATGACATGTACACATTATGCTAAATAAAAATGCAAGAATGTTTTATTTTGCATAATTCATCGTAAGGGGCAAAGAACTATGCTAAGCACCTTATTTCTCTTGCCTGGTGGAAATCAAGCTCATTTCTTCACCCCTCCTCACATTGCTCACTATTTCAAACCTGCATTCACAGTCTTAAAAGGTTATACACTGAATATACCCTAAACCACTTCCTGGTTGATGATACAACTGCAAAATCACGAGATATACACAGCCCTGATGATCTAAGTGTTCCCCTGCTGTAATACTTCAGCTCCAATGTGTGTATCCATGTGGGAAGACAGGATACTGGCATTAAAAAAAAATCAGCCAAGAAAAGGAAATGCAGAATTGCTGGAAGGAAGAACCTTGAGAGCAAAATCTTAACAGAGCCATTAAAAGTCTTTTTGAGTATATCTGGTGATCTGTTCAAGGAAGGTTCATTTGTGCAGCATACAACTCTGCAATTATCAGTATTCTGACTTCAGACTACTGACGGCACTGAATTTCAGAACTAGGATATCTAGAAACAAAGTGGCCTTCATAAGCAAGCAGAACTATGAAGTATGAGCCTAGCTCACTACAGGCTTGGTTAGGCCTAAAGTCAGCCTGCTGTTGCAGCTGTCTCCATACTAGGCAGCTGGAGTAGAGGCCTCATTGTGAGACTTTTTGACCTTTTGACACTGCTATATGGGCATTTCAGATGCAAGGATCGATTGAAGATGTTGCTCCAATGGATCCTAATCATGACCATACTAAGACATCAAGATCCTTGAGAACCACATCTTCAATGGATCCTTGTGCCTGGTTGAATTGCTGTGACAGTACCAAAAGGTCAGTGGAAGCCCTATCGGGTTAAGTGTTGGAAAAAGGAAACAGAGCAGCAAAAGGGAAGGAGGTCTATGGTCTGCCACCATACTTCAGATGGCACTTCCGGGAGTATGACACAGCCTTAGCTCATAAAATGGCCAAGCAAACTCAATTTCAGTCTGAGTTGAAGCAAGCCCATATTAATTTGTCTGAGGAGAACTGGCAGGATTTGGCTCATCTCTGTTTCTAAAATCTGTCCAAGCCAAAAGGTTCTCTTCTGACAAAAACATTTAAACTCTGAATATTCAAGTCCATCACTTCAGAAAAGCTCCCGATACCTTCAAAGATCAAGTATGGGTTACCTTACCTACTATCTTGCCACACGGTCCCTATAAAGGAAGTTACTGCATACATTTAGTAACAGAAAATTACGGTACACAGATGAGTCTCCTGATAAAAAGGAATGATACATTATGTATTAATTGACTTTGGGAAAACTTAAGGGCATGTAGGTAGCTCCTTCTACTCAAAATAGTATTAATTCTAGCCATCTGTTCTCAACAACTGAGAGCCACTGTGCTTAGTGAGTAGAGTGCTGGACTAGGATATGAGAGATTCCAGGTTCAAATCTCCACTCTGCCATAGAAACCTGCTGGATGACCTTGAGCCAGTCACACATACTAAGCTTAAGCTCCCTCACAGGATTGTGAGGATAAAATGGAGGAAAGGAGAACAATGTAATCTGCTTTGGGTGTCCCCCCCCCCCCAATTAGGGAGAAAGGCAGGGTATAAATGAAGTAAGTAAAATAAGCAAACAGAGACATCATTTTTAACAACTCAACTTCTTCAGTTTTGCATAGGTCACACATTTCCGTGGAAATCCTGTTAACAGGCTAGCACAGATTACAGAAGTGAAACAGTAAAATGCCATTAGGCTGGTCACATAATTACTACTAATAAGAATAAACAGATACACAAAAATAAAAAAAACTTTGCTAAATACCCAGACAGGATTACCTCAATTATCCGATTGTCTACAGGCATGGTAGTGCTGACCATATGGACGTTGGGGGTTGATGTAGATCTCTGTCTTTGAGAGAGGGAACCTTCAGGAGAAGGATTTGATGTGTTGAATGTGAAGGCATGAGGTGTAGAATATCTGTGCTGAGAGCTAAAGGAGAGAAGACAGAAGTCACAGTTCATTTCTGCCTCTATATATTTATGCATCTGTCGGACTCGACTGTGCGACTGAACAACAACAAAGTTATTCCAGCAAACTACATAGAGATGAACCTACTAACAGCAACAATTTGATAAACATAAAGTCTTTCTTCATAAAGAATCAGTATATAAACAAATATCCCCCCCAACATAAATTGTTACACTGGTCAGGTAACACTTGAAACTATTTTGAGGAATAAAGCTGCATCCTTAAGACACAGCAGAATGATCACTCCAGGTGCATCTCTGAATTGCAAAATTTCTCATAATCAAGAATAGGTTTTAGTGCAGAGTACTAAAACACTTTTGAACGCTACCAACTACACTGCTTAAAAGGTCTAGCAGTATCTTGACCCCATTTCATTTTCAATTAGCATCAATTCAGTCTGGCTTCAGTTATTTCAGAACAAGTAAGTTATTTGTCCCCCAAAAAGAAATTTAAAAATCAGCCAATAAAAATTGCATTGCACTATTTTGGCCAAAACTGAGGAAGTACATCATTTATTCAAGCCTTCACCACAACAATGGCCAAGGAATGGGGGGGTGTGGGGGGGGAGAATTAGAACAACAAAAAAAGTAAAGTGCCACTAACACTAAATTATAACATTACACACACATAATTACAAATTGTTTTAAACTACCACTTCGCCAACTGCTGATCAAAATGTCATTCAAAGCTGCTTGTGCTGTCAGACCACTTAAAAATGCAGAAACACTTTAAGACTAATATTGTCAGACGTTTTAGAGGCCATAAATAGTTGATAAGCATTATATAAGTTCTATCAGAGCTTAATATTAAACAGAGATATCCAAAATACCATACTTATCTCATCTTCTTACAGGGATCCACTGGAATACAAGTAATATATAAATGCAACCAATTGATTCTTAAAAAGTCATTGTAAAAACTGTGTGTGTTCTATAAAGTATTTATCATTCAAAAATCAATGAAAAGCTCTTTTGTCAGATTGACTCTGCCATACAAAAACCAGCCAAATACATGCAAAGTTTTAATGTGGTGTACAAATGCTCGGACAACATCATAGTATTACTGATAAGAGTTAGAGTGTGCATGAAATATGGCAGGCTTTTGTATCAAACATTATTCTGTCTTAAACTGGTGCTGACTACATTTATTTATTAACACCCCACCTTCTTTCTTTTGTGGCACCTGTGGTGCTTTATACAAAATTCCCTGGAAGACTCTCATCTAGGCACTAACTTGACTCAGATCTGCTGGACTGCTCAAAGCAGGTATCCTGTGTTCACACATTTTTTTGTTCTGCTCTAGCCTTACTTACATAAATAGAGAGGTTCAGGTGAGATAACCGTGTTGGTCTGAAGCAGCAGAACAAAGTTTGAGTCCAGTGGCACCTTTAAGGCGAACAAAGTTTTATTCAGGGTATAAGCTTTCGTGTGCAAGAACCCTTCATCAGATACCAATAGAGAGGGTTATTTTCCAACTGGATTGCTCCTCCAATACTGCCATCTAAAGCAGGGCTACAGCCTTCTAAGTCTATTGATTTCAATGTAGTTAGAAGGGTGAGGCTCTGCTTAGGATTTCACTGCCAGTCGCCAGTAAGAATCCCAGGAGTACTTAGGCATGCCTGTTTCAGAGTCACAAATGGATATGGTAAGCCATGCCCAAATTATCTACATACCCATGCTAAGCAGACATTGGTTTCCCCCCTTATACTCATCTTCATACCTTAATTATAAAGGAAAAGGAAACTAAGCAGTTTTATCACTAGAACTCTCTTGGGCAGTACAAACCAAAACTCATTTACTCAGAAATAGCCACTGTATTGAACAGAACTTACTCTTTCAGTATGTACTGAGGAGCTGTGGCTCAGTGGAAGAGCCTCTGCTTTGCATGCAGATAGGGCTGCCAAGTGGGGGTGGGGAGCGGGTAAACCCCCGCTTCAGAGGCCCAATTTCCGCCGCCGCGGAATCAGGCCCCGGGGGGAACTCCGCCCCCCGAAGCGCAGCATGGCTGCGTCACCAGAGGCCTTCAACGTGATTGACGTCGCGCGTCACTTCTGGTGACGTGCTGGCGGCGCACGTGCACACATCAAAGAACGGCTCCCGGAGCCCAGCGAGGCTCCCCCGCCGGTAAGACATTTTGACTTGGCAACCCTACATGCAGAAGGTTCTAGGTTCAATCCCCAGCATCTCCAGTTAAAAAGGACCAGGCAATAAGTGATGTAAAAGACCTCTGTCTGAGATTCTGGGGAGCCCCTGCCAGTCTGAGTAGACAGTACTGACCTTGATAGACCAAGGATCTGATCCCGTATAAGGCAGCTTCAGGTATGCTTAGGATTGCAACATTAAAGAGCGGCAGAGAAGTATTTTGAATGGCATCACTTATACAAAAAGGCACAAGTTTCAGCCATCAAACTCAAATGTTACACAACTCATCAGGACATTATTATAAGATTAACTTTATTAGTGACAGTAGTCATAAAATGAAAATACAACTTACTTTACAGGTATCCGGGACACAGACTCCCGCATCCGGCGTGTTGTTACAGGAGGTAGCATAGGGACACCACTATCACCAACGTTTGAGTGTGGAAACAATCTGAGATCAAAAGCAATGTCGCTGAGCAAACACAATTAAAGTGAAGTTTTACTACATCCAAATGAAACCTTAATTTTATGTTCTAACCAATGCAATCCAAATGACTGAATTTTCACAGCGGTTAAGTAAAAGTCAATGGAATCACAGAACAGCTTGGCCTTAAAGTCTTTCTTAGAATGTAAACTCTGGATGGGATTGCTCTTAAGCATCCCTACAAAAGAGCACAATGTATAAGGCCACCTTCACACAATGCCACATTCAAAACTTCTTTTGGTATTCATAAGTTGTGCTCTAAAAGTATATTCATTTGAAACGCTGCACTATACTGAATGCAAGTACACAAGGAAAACTAACTGCACATACACACACAACAGGCCAAGAATGTATGAACAGTAGGCATGAAACACCAATCTCCCCCAAACACTACAGAAAGTGATGCCAATGGCAAAAAGCTAAGTACACAAGATCACCCATAAAACGCCAACTTGAGGCAACAGACACATAGGAACACATCAAACTGCCATATACTGTATCAAACCACTGGTCCATCAAGGTCACAGCCCTCCCTAAAAAACAAAGAACATCTGGAGTCTAATGTGTTTTCATATTCTGCAAAACCTATGAGGAACTGCAGGGTACCACAATGCTGAAGTCCTGGGCAAGTCTTGAACCTCAGAACAATTGCTTTGAGATTCATGGACTGGTGGGCAGGAAGCTGCCAATCTAGTACTCAAGGGAGGGGCTATGGCTCAGTGGGACAGCATCTGCTTGGCATGCGGAAGGTCCCAGCTTCAATCCCCAGCATCTCTAATTTAAAAAATCAGGCAGTAGGTGATGTGAAAGCCCTCTGGCTGAGACCTTGGAGAGCCACTTCCAGTAAGAGTAGAAAATACTCTACCTTAATGGACCAATCAGTATAAGGCTATCTTCATGTGTAGTCACTCCTCAGCGGCAGAATATAACAGGCTATTTTTACTGTTACTCCCCATTCTGTGAGGCGGGGAAGAATTGAACTTGAGAAACATATACCCCACAGCATGCATTCTTTGCTCATTACATTTCCGGTTTCAAGATGCTGTTAAGTTGTCAGGGGTTCACACCTTAAATAATGTTTGGCGGTACAATTCATCAATCCATTCTGATGGTTCTTTCCCCCTTTAATTTTTTAACAAGTTCTTTTTCTACATACCCAGGCAGTTACAGAGAATGTAGAACCTCCCTGCCTTTTCTTTGGGTCACCCCATGTCACTGCCTTACTACCAGATCTGGGCTAGAAGAAAAACAGCTGATGCATTGAAGTGCTGCAAGGTAGGGATAGGGAAGGTTTAGCTCTCCTCAGTGGCATACTGTTTTCGTTAAAACCTAACATTTAACTACTGTTTTCAGGGAAAACTTTTGCACCTTTTACAGAGGACTCCTGAGGATCAATAATCAATTTGATGCTTACTGCTGTGCACCAACTAAGGTCATTGGGTGCCTCACTTTGGCATGGTGCCTCACTTTGGGTGCCTCACTTTGGCATCCACAGCCCGTGTGTGGTCATTTTCAGTACTGCGCCCACACTCTGGAACAGCCTGCCAGATATGGTACAGAAAGCTCCCCCACACACTCTCTATTCCAAAAAATGTACAAAGTGGAATTAGTTTGAAGCACCTTTGGTGGAAGTAAGGAATGTCTCAGACTGGCAGCTGGTGATGATAGCTCAGTTGCAAGCACTGCAGTTTTAACTTGTTTCAGCTATGTTTTAGCCGTATATGTTTACACTTTGTAAACTGCCGTGAGCATTGTGAAGAGGAGGAATAGAAGTATTTTAAATAAGGAGATACTTACAAGTCCACGTAACAATGGCAACATGGTATAAATTGGATAGCAACTAAGGCTGCTCAGTTTGCTCTCTTTCTACACTATTCCAGCTTTTGCATACTACATGAGTACAATTTACTTCACACTGTATCAGACAACTAGTTCTTTAGTTAAGAAGCTCTTACAGGAGTTGCCGGACATTACTCCAGTCCACACACATAGTTGGAACTCTAGTGCTGCAGTGTTCATGGAATTTATAGCCACATGTCTGACACCGGAATCCATTTAGTAAGAACTTCTGGCAGATGTCACAGAACGCGAGCTTCAGAAACGTCTTCCTTGCCTAGAAAACAAGTTTAACAGCTTTATTGCAATTTCTGTGCCAAGTCTGTGTAGAATTGCTCCAAGTTCATGGAGGTAAAGTAAGACTAAACTTTGGTAAACATTTGTTTCAAGTTGCATAGTAAATCTTTACATTCACAAGAGAATTCACACTGAACTATTTAAACTATCTACCCTTTACAAATTAGGAAGCTTGCAGTGCTGAAACTAATACACTTTTGTCAGACAATCTTATGAACATCTAATATTCAGTTTTATATATGAGCGCAAATCCAGTAATGCATTGTTTTTAAAAATGTGAGTTTGGATAATTTATATGTTCAACTACACAGACATCTGATTCAAACATCAAAGCACAACAGGAATGTTTGACATTTGTAACAAATTAAGCAACTTTTGGTAGCTGCAATGAAACATGAAGACTCATTCCAGCACAGCCTGTTTTCTAACAGATCAGAGCACTAAATTGATAGAGCAGTTTCAAACCCCTTGTCAGAACTCAATTTCTCTGTGAAATCCTCATCTCAGACTAAAATAAACAAATTTAACTGCATTCTGCCACTGTTTCTCCTTGCAGTGCCCCCCCCACCCCCACCCCCCAATCCTTCAATCTCTGCTGTTTTCTGCTCTTGCCACTCCTGGCCTTATGTTCCATACTATCAAAATTTAGACTAAGTTCCTTTGGATCAGAGACTTTTTTGTGCTTATTTTAATCTGAACAGAACTATGATGGCACATGGGGAAAAGCTGTGGCTTAGTGGCAGAGCATCTGCTTCGCACGCAGAAAGTTCCAGGTTCAATCCTCAGCATCTCCCATTAGAAAGATCAGGTAGTAGGTGATGTGAAAGACCTCTGCCTAAGACCCCTGGAGAGCCACTGCCAGTCTGAGTAGACAGCACTGACTTTGACGGACCAATGTTTTCATTCAGTACAGGACAGCTTTATGTGTGTCAATCATAAATCATCAAGCCCTTTACATAAATGCTGCTATTAAGAGTTCAGGACACAGTGATTAATCAAAGTGATAAGTATAGAAGACTCTGTAAAGGTGCATGACTGGATGTTAACTCAGTCAATAAGAACTTGGAAACTCTCTTCACTTATGGAGACTCTGAGGAATGACATGGCTGGGGTTCTTCAGCAGAAAGAGGGAATCAGTAGAAATTGCCAATTTAGTCTGGATCGAACCCAAAAGGTGCACAAAGCCTCCAGTAACTATCATGGACTACAGCGTGTACTGCGAAGAGGGCCACATTAGGCTCTATTGAAAACTGCTATCACTTTGCATGTTACAAAATTTGTAGGCATTTTACAAACTAATACAAGTGTGTAGCTATGGTGGGGCATTTCGGGGCCATGCCCCATCATTGGTGAGCTCCGCCCCATCTGAGCAGCGCAAGCAGCAAGCCAGCCCACCAGCAGCCAGTAGGCGAGGAAGACCCTCTCCCTCTTCTACTGGCTGTGGGCAGGCTTGCTGCTTGAGTGATGTTTAAACTCAAGCCATGAGCCCATCGGCAGCCGGTAGACGAAGAGCCTCTTTCTCATCCACTGCCTGTGGGTGGGCTCGCCGCTCAAGTAGCGGTTGAATGGGGGAGCAGAGAGCTGAAATTGTCATGTTCTCTGTCACTGTGTGGGGCACAATCAGGTACTATCTTCCCCTCCCTTTTACTGTTGCTACCACAACCTCAGTAAAAGCCAAACCCTCTTTCTCTTGTGAGTCACCCAACACCAACACCATGTAGCCAAAGGAGAGGGTAAGGACTAGTGCAGACTCTCTCAAATTAAACAACTATTTCTACAAGGAACAAGTTCAGGGTACTATAAGAACAGGTCTAGGTGCACTAAGCAAAATAAACAACTAGGTACTTAATCCATGGTGTTCGTTAGTTGCACAAAGCCTCCCCCAATGTATCTGCAATCATCTATAGCATCATTCCCCTCATTGTCCTTCACAACAAACCACACAGGAGACAGCATCCCTAAAATGCCACAACCAATGACCAACAATACCAGACAAAATAACAATCCCCCTTTTCAGACCTCTGCCCCACCTGTGCTTCAGGGGCCTTAACCAATCTGGTTGTCAGGTCCTGGGCTCAAGCCCATGAGAACTGTATAGAAATATTGATTTCTAAAAGCCTCCTGCCTTCTTCTGTTCTGTCTTTGATAACGCTGTACCTTGTTTCCTCTTACAAGCCAAATGCTGAGGCCAGATGGCCTCGATAGCATGCCCTAAACCCACATTCTTTCACACGTTCATGCTGAAAGCCAGACCTGGCGCTTGCCATGCAAGATGTCACGTACACAATGAAGTAGTTGGAATTTGGGATCACATGCCTGCAGGTGTGGCCTCCAAACTCCTAGCCATTCCTGTGTTGCAACCATGGCAACTAACAATTGGCCACATCCCATACTCACTCGCAGTTGGCTGCATGGCCACGGCTGATTGTGACTGAAATTGGGCTATATCTGTTCAGACTCAATGAGAGAGACTCTCTCTGTCCCTTGCTCTTGTTCTGCTCTTGCTTCTTGGTCTCCTGTTGTTGCCTGTTTATTGCACCTGGACATGTGCTCTCTGGAAGAGACAAAGGACTGCTTTGTGCCTTAGAGCACATGGAGGGCAAAGATGGGATTGTTCCTAAAAATCCCTTGGCACCTAACTGGACTGTATCCTGGACACTTTTGGAACATGGACACTGTACTGGTAATTATGCATATCTCTAATGTGTAGTTAAGGCAAACTGCCTTAGGTTTCTTATTTTGTAATCGGTAGCCTACCTCTCTGGGTTGTTATTAAGGTATTGAAAAGTATAGGCTCCCCCCTCATTCCTGGACAGGCTTGAGGGGCAGAAACCTATACAAGAACCTAGACCCTCCAATCACAAAGTGTTAACACAAAGGCTAGCATGTTTTCCTCTGTTTATATGGAAAGGAGGCTCTCTATCCAGAGGAAAGTACTTTCCCCAGTCACAGAGACAGCAGTGTCCCCTTCTATCACCCTAACTGTGGCAGTTCCACTTGCCCTCCTGGCTCTCATCCATCACAGAATTAATTAATTGTCGTATGGCATTGTGTGTAGACTAGCCAAAAGATCCTAAGATTGGCAGCCAGAAATTCTAGCTCTTTTACCGTTATGCACCACTAGGTGGCAAGCGAGACTTGTTTTTAAGGCAAAAGACATTTCAGAGGTGGTTTGCAATTGTGTCATGACCCTGGTATTCCTTGGAGGTCGCCTTTCCAAATACTAGCCAAGGCCAACCCTGCTTAGCTTCCAAGATCTGACAAGATTGGGCTATCCAGGTCAGGGCCCCCATCACAGAAATATACTCTAAAGCAGTAAGAGAATGGTTCACACATACATGTTTATCACTTAGGGGCATCCTGCATGTGTGAAGAAGCCATCAAGAGTTCAACTGTTGCAAAAAACTTCCCTATTGTCTTTAACTATGCTTTTCAATGGAATCCACTCACACATCCAACTGTAAATTGAGTATTATAGTAGAGTAGGGTATCAGTAAAGAGATTAATTATATTTTTATAATCTGTACAGGAAAATAAAGATAGCTGTTGTAGATTTTCCAGGTTGTATGGCTGTGTCTGTGTCAAGGTGTACTCTTTGTGTCAAGGTGTGTTGAGGTGACACAGAGAGTACTTCGTCTTTCTGTGTTATACCTCTGAGGATGCCAGTCACAGCTACTGGCGAAATGTCAGGTCCTACAATGCCAAGACCACGGCCATACAACCCAAAAAATCTACAACAGCTAATGCACTCCGGCTGTGAAAGCCTTCAACAACATAATGTTTCCTTTTATTTGTGGACTCCCGTATTTTGGGGGGGGCCATGGTTCTTGATCGTTTTTGAATGTTTGCTAGACTTACCTGGTCTTCTGATGTGTAGTGTGTGTGTCATCACAGCTTTCTTGGTCTTCTTCAGCGTATGAGGTGCTCTGAATGTGAAGTGCAGTCTGTAGGAAGTTAAAGATGAGGTCATGGTAGGCACTGGAGGATGTACTGGCCAAATTTGAGTAATGGTCATAGCAAGCAACCACTACAGGGGTTTTCCATCTCTAAGCATCTCAGCGTGTTGTGTGACACAGAGAGTACTTCGTCTTTCTGTGTTATACCTCTGAGGATGCCAGTCACAGCTACTGGCGAAATGTCAGGTCCTACAATGCCAAGACCACGGCCATACAACCCAAAAAATCTACAACAGCTAATGAACTCCAGCCGTGAAAGCCTTCGACAACAAAAAATGTAAGCAAAAACTATATCAAGCAATGCATCGGGTTACAGCTAACCCAGAATACATTGTTACATTAGATGTATTGTTGTTAGCCATTGAAGCTGCAATTAAAATCAGAATTCATTTGGAAATATGGACACACATTTTTAACCTTGATCTACAAATATCTGGATTCTCAATGCTATGAGAACCTTGAGCACTAATGGGGGAAATGTTAAGAGATTCTCACTGAATATTACTATATCAGTAGCCCATACACAGAAGTGTAAGTAAGAAGAGCAACATACGAAGTTGTGTGTTGTGAGAGGAACGTGATCGAGGAAGTCCACTTGCAGCTCTTCTCCAATCAACGATGCAGCATCTGTACCCCAATCCAATCGTAATTTTTTACTGGAAGACAAAAACACCCTTAATATACTAAGAAGTTACCAGTAGAATTCAAGTTCTGATTCAGACTATTGATTTAACAGAACTACCTTAAACATATAATCACATACATGATCGCATTCTAAAGCAATGGGCACCATGGATATCAGACGAACAACTGAAAACAATGATATGGAACCCATATAAAGGAGTCCAGCTCTGAAGTTATTTGGAAATAGCATGGACTTGAGCGCACAGATGAAAACCAAGAAAAGATAACACAATATGCAACACAAGCCTTCAGAGGAACAAAGTTAGTAAATTACATTCACCCTCAACTTGTTAAGTAACCATTTGGTATTAAAACCAGCACACCCAGTCGTATAAAAAGGGGAGTAACACCCAAATGAGAGCCATATCCAACTGCTACAAGCTTCAAACATATAACCTAAACCTGAATAGAAAGAAGAGTCAACATGATTATCAAATGAAAAGTTTAGTTTCAGTATAAAATTGTTGAGCTTGAGCCGGGGGGGGGGGGATTTTTGCCACTATTCCTCAGATTCCTTCCTCCCTTATGAAGTTTGGGGAGAGGGGTTCCCATCTCCTGGGAACAGCATTTTGGGTGTATTTTGGGTTGCAGCAGGAGGGAGAGAGGCAAGGACTAGACATTTTCCAAGCTGTTTATAATCAGCAAAACAAATTAGTTTTACTTGTTACAACACAACCAAATTAAGCACATGTCAATGTAAAAGTTAAAAATATGCTTAATTCTTCCCCAATTAGAATCAGTGAGATACAGAAATGCTAAACTTTGAAGAGGTGTGACTTTGTACTAGGCTAAACATTAATTCTAATTAATTAATTAATATTAACATGGCAATGAACGGTGGATAGAAAAGCAGAAGAGAAATGAATGGGGGGGGGTAACTTTTTACATTACTTTTGCCGACCCAGCTTAATTTCTAATTCTTACCCTTTTTGTTCATTAAGCAGTCTAAAAACAGCACAGCACTCTGGCTGCAGACCTCTAACTTTGAGTGCCTTCATGAGACAGTCATGTAAGGTCATCCCATTACGTACATTAACCTGTTGAGTAAAACACATGTAGTTTTTAAAAATGCAAAGCAGTACAATTTTTTACTAGACTGAGTGTGTACACTCAACTGCTTTTTCCAACAAATGACTACAGGTTCTTAGGATAGCCTGATAACTCAGAACTCTCACAACAAAATAGCACTGCTGGGTCAAACTAGCAGTCCATCTAACACATCCTGTTTCCTACTATGGCTAACTACATGCCCCTGGAAAGCCTACAAGCTGGGCGTGGGGCCAAAGCCTACCCTACTGTTGCACCCAGCAACCGATATTGAACAATGTTCTCTCTCTGAACATTGTTGTTGTTGTTGTTCAGTCGCACAGTTGAGTCCGACTCTTCGCGACCCCATGGACCAGCTCCCGCCAGGCCTTCCTGTCTTCCGCCGTCCTCTGAAGTTTCCTCAATTTCATGTTCGTTGCATCTATGACACTGTCTAACCATCTCATCCTTTGCCGTCCCTGTCTTCTTTGACCTTCAATCTACAATCCATTTAAGCCATCATTCTTGCTAATGCAAAAGTGACCAGTTCCTGTTATGGTTACAAAAGGAGGACAATGGAACTTCTCATAACCATGCATGGACCATGGATTCTGCAGGCCTGTGGGTCTCCCCAGGTATGCAGGAAAACATTTTTTGTTAATTGTTAATTTTTAAAAAATACTCTACAGCAAATGAAGCCTGAATACGTCAGGGGGCCTGGAATGTAAAGAGGAGCTGGGAGTCAGGGAAAGGGAAGAGAAACTAAATTAGCCTGTCCAAGCACAATCTTGGAGGGAGAGATTTGGGGATGAGAAGTGTCTCCAAGTTGCTCTGAGGCTCCCAGCTTATACTGGCTAATAGCCATGACAGATCTATCCTTCATGAATTTGGACAATCCCTCTTTAAAACGGTCTAAACTAAGGATCATCTTGACCTGGACAGTCCAGGATAGCCCAGTCTCGTCAGATCTCATAAGCTAAGCAGGGTGAGCCCTGACCAGTATTTGAACAGGAGACCTCCAAGGAATACCAGGGTCACACAGAGGCGGGTAATAGCAAACCACTTTTGAATGTCTCTTGCCTTGAAAACCCTATGTCACCATAAATCAGCTGTGACTTGACAGCACTTTCCACCACCAAACTAAGGATCATCATTACATCATATGACAGTAAATTCCTTGATGTAATTATGTGTTGATCTTTACATGCCTTATAAAGAAAATATACTCTTGTCTACTGTGAATTTACTGCCAATGAACTCCACTGGATGCTCCCACGTTCTAGCATTTTGGAGCAGGTATTAAAAAAATGTTATTTACACAATGCAGAGTTTATAAACCTTTAGCATGTCCCCTTGTAGCAGCCGTTTTCAAAACTAAGACGTTCTAAACTGTTTAGCAATTTGTCTTTAGGAAGTTACTCAATCCCCTTTGGTAATTTCCATTGCCCTTTATACACCTTTTCCAGCTCTATAACATTTTTTTAATGGGATAACCTGAACTGTGCACAGTATTCCAAATGCAGCTTCAGATTAATGCAAGAACACTAATACAGACTGAACCATTTATTTCCAATGCTTTCCTACTACTCACCAATAAAGAATTTGCCTTTTTCTCTGTTACTGTACACTGAATCAACATTTGCATGGAGTGATCATCATCTACAATGGCCCCCAAATGTCCTTATTTATTTACTTCATTTATACCTTGCCTTTCTCTTCTTCCTGGTAAGTCACACCCAGTATATGTATGTGAATGTTTTGCTGCAATGCGCTTTATACCCTACTTGAATCTTGTTTGCCATGCTGTCATTCGGTAGCCCTTTAGAGGCTCCTTTTGGAGCTTTTCACAATCCTCTTTGGTTTTCACCATCCTGAATGGTATAATCTGAGAACTTGACCATTTTGCTGTGCCCCTCCCATACCAGATCATTTATGCACAAATTAAGTTGCATCACTCCTAATACAGATCAGTGGTGATTCTCTATTACTCCCCTCTATTGTGAGACTTGTCCAGTTATTCCTACCTTCTGGTTCCTGTTGTTTAACCAGTTACTAATCCCTCAAAGTATCCATCTCTTATCCTATGACTGCTAAATTTACTAAGATGTCTTTGGTAGGAGACCCATAAAAACTTTCAAAAGTCCAAATATGTGTCTACTAATCACCCTTACCTTCATACTGGTCAATATACTAAATAACTCTGGCTATTTGGCAAGGCAGGACTTCTTTCCAAAAGCCATGCTGATTCTCTCTCAGCAAGACTTGTTCTTCTCACACGCATTGTGTGGACTGGAACTTCCCGCCTGCCCCTGCTTACTGGCACTCCATCCCCACACTGCTCCTGAAGAGCAGAGAGCTCCAGGAACAATGCTGGGCACGACTGAGAGGTCAGTGGAAGAGAGGACTGGCAAAAACCATCGTCAGGTAACCTCAAATAAATGTTATAACAAGTGCTAAGCAAGTTTAAAAATTGTTATAGTGTTTCTAAAACTTTGTAAACCTTTGGGTTCCACTCTTGAGTCAGAAAGCAAAAAAGGCACATTTTCTGGCCAACACTACTTTATAATCCACAAATAATCCATCAACAGAAGCCATTTATAAAACACAGAATCACACATTCAGTAAAGTGACACTAACGTTATTGCTTTTCCCAAAGTTATGTATGTGTACACTTGGTCAGCAAGTTGAATAAAACATCACTTTCTGTCCTGAAGACTCTACATTTCAGCCTTAATACCCTACTGGTGAAAAGGAATGTTTATGAATTAGGGGGATAAAACAGCCAATCTTTCATCTTGCACAAAATAAAAAACAGACTCACCACTGTGCGTTGCTTGTTAGGCAAGAAAACACGAATAGTATTGCTTGTTTTGGAGGAATCTGAAAGTTTTCCATCATCAGATGCTCTGCGTTGATAACCAAACTGCTGGACAATGGTAGGCGAAATACAGTTGGATCCATTAAAGACAGAATCCTTTAAGCCAATTCCATCACTAAGAGCCCTCAAAGCTCCCTGAATTTGCTCCATTGAAGTAGTCTATATGAAACCTGTTTAGAAAGAGAGAAAAGTACTCATTCTGAAATCAAGTCTTTTAAAGAACAAATCTAAGACAGCTTTTGCTTGTTCTGCATAAAGATGTGAACCAACAAATTATAATATACAGGGGATTCGATCCAATCAAGTACCAAGCTCATGGAAGAAATCTCACACTTTACTCAAGCCCCTGTATCTCCTTAAGCCAAATATAATGGGGGGGGGATCCTGACAAAGGGAAGATAGGAACAGTATGGGGCCTGCAGCAGAAAGGGGAATCGTACAAAATGATTGGGGGGGGGGGGCTTCCTATTTGCTGCTGATTTCTCCTTCCCACTTCAGTTCCCACTGTTTGAGACAGCTGAGGAAGGGAATGGTGTTGCAGTAGGAGGAAACCAAGGTCCCTTCCCATGAACACACATTATTCACAGTTGGTGACCCAGCCCAAGTAAGAAAGCTCTGTTATAGCAGCGGTGCTTAGTTTGCTTCTGTAGGTCAGGATATTTCTGCAAAAGCATGTTGATGTAATGACTGCTAAAGAAATTTTGTTTATGCGGCACTGTATTATTTCTTAGACTTATCATACCAGTCATATTCACACTTATCAGCTAAAGATATAGCAAGTCAGAAATCAAGACATTTTCTCTAAATTACCACTGAAGCAAACTGAGAAAGTGTTTTGAATTATCTCAGTGATTTTATTAAAGCATTTTTGTCCCAACTTCTCAGTGGAAATAAGTCTAACAACCTCTTCTGATGGCACAGAGCATAAGAAGCATTCCACCAACCCAAAAGAATGGACTGGTGAGATGCAACTCAGTATAATCTCAAACCAATCTTTAAAACTGGCTCCCAACCATTAATCTACTGAAACCATTCACAGTACAGCCATAAGGGCGGTGAAAGCCGTACCCAGCCCCACCAAAGCAACCCATTGACCCACCACCAGAGTAACCCACCCCGGCACCAGTGTGGAAAGGAACAACCAGGCTACATGGTGGCAATTAATCAGTTACCTAAACTGCTCCAGCTCAGAAAGCCCCCCAGAACCAGTGGAAAGTTACAGCGGTAAAAATCACAGCACAGCAGTGTTTGTCTGCATCCTGTGGATGCAGTGCACCATGGGGGTGGCCAGGGAGTGGTGTACACTCATACCTGCTCTTCTCCCCTGTAGGCAAGATGCTCAACAGGGACACTGTTGCTAGTCTGTCAGGTGCCAGGGGAAAAGAGCAGACTAGGGCAGCCAGCACCTCAGGGATCACAATCCTGGCTGCAAACCCGGAGGACAAGGCCATCAGTGACATCGTGGGCCCCTCAGCTGTCCCATTGGGCCTGGGCCCCCGCTGTCCATTCCACAGTGCCAAGTCAGAAGGCAGTCAAGGCCAGTAATGGAGCAGTAAACCTCCTCATGGTGCCAGCTACGGAAGCAAAAAGGTACTGAAGCAAGGCGGCTGTGAGCACAGGGCATTAACGTAGGCCAATGTGGCAATGTGGCTCCTCGGCCTTGATGTTGTCTGCATGTTGTGAAGCATCTTTATGCCTCCACCCCTTCAAGATGGGCCAGCCATCCTCCAGTCATTGGGCACCGGGGACTGCCCTGACATGGCTCCAGATGCTGCTAAACCCAGAGGAGCTGGAGACTCAGAGCCACTGCCAGGGCCTCAGGCAGAGATGAGGGCTGCAGAGTGCATCCCCTCCAGAGTTCACCCATGTAGGTGGTGATTGAGAAAGAGAAGCTAGAGATGTAGTATGAGTGGAGGGATGCTGTGTTCCATGGCCAGCAGTCCCTGGAAGGGGTTGCAGCAGCTCTGGGTGTAACTACTGGGCATCAGAATGACTAGAAGATCTGTGATGACTAGAAAGCCATGGACAGCAGGCAGACATACATGGAGGAGCTGCTGGGGAACCTGCTGGTGGTGATCCATGGCCTTGTGACACGCCAAACACCCCTTCTACTCCACAAGTGGCATGGGTCACCAAGGGTATGCTGTGGAGCTAGCCTCAGCAGTGTGCCCATGGTGCAGGGCAGGGCCCCTGTTGGTGACCTTCAGACAGCCATTGTCAGGGCTGTTTTCCTTTTGTATTCCTGATGATATTGTCCTTGGGGTTGCCCCCACTGCACCACATGGGGCATATTCCAAGGTTGCCCTCATTGTACCACACTGGGGATAGATAGGAAAATCTACCTAGGGGGCCTTTTTTACTTTATTAAGATTTAGATGAAAGACCTTTAACCTACAAATCATACATTTTTCCCTCTCTTGAAGTAAATTACCAAAGCTTTTCTATTTTTGCACACTGCTGTTGTCGCAGTCCAAACTGGATGTGCTGTCTCAGAAGCCAGAACAACAAACAGTTCTGCTTTGGGGGAGGGGGATGCTAAGCCACAAGACCTGAGGCTTATGCCAAACTGAGTCTGGGAGAAATGTGTCACAGGCAGTTACTGCTAGGTTAGCAAATTTGTAACTGATAAATCAATTAATCAAACACCTTGCTGAGGGGGAAAGAACCTGGACAGGGGACGTAAAGCTCAACAATGGGTGACCACTTCCAAATAGGTGAGGTAAGAGAAATTGGCATCTACAACCTGGTTAAGGGGCTCAGCCCATGGATGGAAGCCCCCCTGGGCCATGGGGCAGGCTCTACAAGGTTGCCAATCTGTGGTTGCTTGTTTCCACCTGTTCATCCCCATCATGAGTCAGACATCTTTGTGGTACCAATAGCACACCTGCGAAGGATACCAGCCTGTGCAGGCTCGCGACCGACTCGATGCTAAGCCACAAGACCTGAGGCTTATGCCAAACTGAGTCTGGGAGAAATGTGTCACAGGCAGTTACTGCTAGGTTAGCAAATTTGTAACTGATAAATCAATTAATCAAACACCTTGCTGAGGGGGAAAGAACCTGGACAGGGGACGTAAAGCTCAACAATGGGTGACCACTTCCAAATAGGTGAGGTAAGAGAAATTGGCATCTACAACCTGGTTAAGGGGCTCAGCCCATGGATGGAAGCCCCCCTCCATGGGGCAGGCACCACAAGGTTGCCAATCTGTGGTTGCTTGTTTCCACCTGTTCATCCCCATCGTGAGTCGGACATCTTTGTGGTACCAATAGCACACCTGTGAAGGATACCAGCATGATTGAAGCCTGTGCAGCCGCCCCCGCCCCCCCGGCTAGGTCTTTTGCCTGGTCCCAAAGCTCTCCTTAAACCCTTTAGGGAACGGACCAGCAGCGCCACTGTTGTGCTGGCAGCCTCCACCTCAGCAGCTCTCAGGACTGTGCTGCCAATCTACTAACTGAAAATATTAAAGCTTGCAGCCTTTTTATTTTAGAACATTTTTATATGGCTTCTCCAGGAACCTGACTGAAGTGGCTTACAAAATAAATAAAATGAAAACAAAACATTAATGTCTTAATTAAAATCCAGCATTTAAAAAGCCCCAGCCCAGCATAAAAACATAGATCATAAAAACAGACCAGATAGCTTAAAACAGTCTCCTGTGTTTAAAAAAAAAAATCAACCCCTTAATTAAAAGCCCAAGTGAACAGAAATGTTTTGGCCTGGGGCCTAAAAGAAAGTAACGTAAGTGCCAAGTAAGCCACTTAAGGGAAAGGGCATTCCTTATGTGGGGTGCCACCACTGGAAAGGCCTCTATCTGGTTGCCATCTAACTTATTATTATTATTTAATAATCACCCTATCCCAGTCACGCTGGGCTTTGGGTGATGTACAAGAGAGGCATAATGCCATTGAACAAAATACAAATTTTTAAAAACCCAATGCACTTAATAAGAATATAACCAGAATAAAATCCCAGATGGCGATTTACAATTTTCATTCCTTTCTGGACTACTTGGCTGTATGGTGTGGGGGGCGCATAAAGCTTAACAAAATATACATACAGGAAGAGAAGGAAAGGAGGGAAGGGTACCAGTCAGTATAACCAACCGTTGCTGTCCTCAACCAAAAGCCTGGCGAAACATCTCTGCCTTACAGGCCCTGTGAAATTGCATAACGTCCCGCAGGCCCTGGTGTAGTTCGGCAGAGAGTTCCACCAAGTTGGGGCCAGGACTGAGAAGGCCCTGGCCCAGGACAGCTGGACATTCTTGGGGCCAGGGATCACCAGAAAGTTATTATCAGTGGAGCGCAAAGCTCTTCCAGGGACACAGCAGAGAAGGCGGTCCCCGTAGGTGCATTGGCCCCAGACCGCTCAAGGCCTTAAAGGTCAATACCAAAACCTTGAACCTGACCCGGTACTCTACTAGAAGCCAGTGTAGCTGGCGCAGCACCGGTTGAGTATGTGCCATCCATGACATTCCCGTCAGGACTCGCACTGTCGTATTCTGAACCAGCTGAAGTTTCCAGATCAGTCTCAAGGGTAAGCCAGTGTAAATCGAGTTACAGTAGTCTAGGCTGGAGATAACCATCGCATGGATTACTGTGGTTAGGTCAGGGCATGACAGGAAGGGAGCCAGCTGCCGGGCTTGACGAAGGTGAAAAAATGCCTGCCTGGCAATATGCGTGACCTGGATCTCCATCAATAAGGAGGTATCCAAGGTCATGCCCATACTCTTGACAGACAGTGCCGGTGTCAATGGCACCCACAAAGGGTTGGTAACCTGAACTCCAGGCCTGAAGTCCCCCCACAGCCACAGAACTTCCATTTTCGATGGATCCAGTCTCAGCCTGCTCTTTTTTAGCCACCCCACCACAGCCTCCAAACCCTCAGCCAGACTTTGTGGGGCAGTAACTGTCCGTCCGATAACAGATACAGCTGGGTGTCATCTGCATATTGATGGCACCCAAGGCCAAAACTCCTTACCAGCTGGGCGAGGGGGCGCATGTAGATGTTAGATAACATCGGGGAGAGGAGTGCCCCCCTAAGGAACCCCACATACTAAGGGCTGTCTAGAGGATATATCCTCACCCAGTGCCACCCGCTGTCCCTGACCATGGAAAAATGAGGAAAGCCACTGAAGAGCCACCCCACATACTCCTGCATCGGCGAGGCAGTG